AAGGAGAAATAGATTTGGTTGCATCAGTGAGCTGGCATCTCGCTCCAAATGTGCTGGAGATCTCCAGTGAGGAAAGGTGATGTTTTTTCCTTCTGAAGGCTGGAGTCTTCAGGAAGGTGCCAACAAGATCTTGCTGATATGGATACCTCCTGCAAAAACAAAGTGAGAAGGGAGAGACTCTCCCCACCAAATGTGTGTGTGTACACACACACACACACACACACACACACACACACAACACTTCTTGATCTCCATGAATCACAAAGAGCTCAGGGAGGAAGGGATATACTTTGCTCTCTGCCTTTTTGTTTATAGTTTGCTGAGACCTCACGGGAACCTTTGGACTAAGAAAAGGGCAGGGACACTTGTTGGCAGATGAAAGGATTTGTGAAACTTGCAAGAGTAAAACTGGTAATGCTATGCAAGAAATGTCATAGGTGGACTCTGTACTGATACAGATGTGGTTTTGTGCCAGAAAATGACAGCTGAGATTGAGATTCTGGCTGTAACTTGTCTGTTGCATCACTCATGAAGCAGACTACATCTGGCACTGTTAGATATCTTTTGCCCATGTAACTCCTGGACTTTGACCAGATAAAGCAGTTAGTTGACACACAGCTTCCCAAGAGAAAATCAGTGAGCTGGTCTAAAATTTGCATAATGAATATTGCTGGCATGTGTTTTTTTAAATATACTTGGATATAAAAATTTTGTCAGCTAAATGCTATGTCTGGTTCTTCTATGAAAATTATATTTAAGAACTCATTCTCCTACCTTTGTTTGAGTCGAACAGTTTTCAAGGCCATTAGTGTTCCGTAAAATAACCTCCCTTAGCTTGATTCTTCTGTAAACATAGCAAAGCGCAAAACAGTTCTAATTCTGGTACTCTCGTTTCATCAATTGATAGGTTTAGTCCTATCAATTGCATCCTTGGTAATTTGAAGCTCTCAGAGGTGGAACCATCTGAACATCCAGTGCAGGTAGGAGGGCACTGCAGAGGCTACCTTCATCTTCCTGCTGTCCCTCTCTACAGATTTCACTAGATAGGCTTTTAGCCTGTCCAGCAAGGGTGTTCCAGTGGGAAGCTGCACAGGGCTCAGGATAACTTGTATAATGGTCTCTCTGGGCTTCTGCCCTCCCCACCCACCAAATACCCACTTTTGCTCTACTCTGAGGCAGCCAACTAGTTCTTGCTGTTCAGGCTGGAGCGGGGAGGGGGCTGGGGCAGGATCTCAAACCTGTTGAGTTGGATCCTGATTAAGTTGGTTACAGCTGAACTCAATAGGGCCATAGGTTGGTAATGACTAAATTGTCACATCAATTTCAGTGGAACTAAGATGGCCATCTTATACTCACTTACTAGGGAGTAAGTCACATTGAACTCAGTGAGATTTAATTTGTGTTGTAAAACAACTAAGACTCGATCCGATCTGCTACATTTTTTACTGCCATGTTCTTTATTTTATTGAAATAAATTATCTTATTTTGTTGTTAAGCTTGCTGATTGTCCACCAAGAAACGTACCATTCTTTGTATTATTCATTTGTTTTTAACTGTATGAACAAGCAGAGCAATCATGTGGAATGTCATGCTTGCAACAAAGTGCTTCCTTCTGATATTTCTTTGTTGTGTGGACCCATCACCTGTTAACATCCTTCAATAAAACTGTAAAAGCATGGCCTTCATAGTACCCTAAAGAATACAGAAACTCTGTCATCCTTGCTGTCTAAGGCAAAAAGTGCGCAAGAGACTTTCTTTAAACTTACTCCTAGTCAACAATGCACTCAGGAGTAAGGCATATCAACTTAGAGAGCTGCTTAGGCCCCCAGTGTTACCAACCTGATTATATCCAAATGTTAGCTAAGTGAGTAAAATAGTGGTGAATTAACCCATTGCCTGCCTTGATCTCTTTAAGATGGAGAGTGGTGGTGCAATAAGGCCTTACCCTGACTGACCCTGCAAGAACAACAGTAAAAGCTGTAAATCATATGTGGTGCTTCCTTGTCTGATCCAAGATTTGGGCACAGTTCATTAAAAGTTGATCCTGGTAACTAAGTCACATTGAAAATGGGGTTTGATACAGGTGTTGGGACTACAACATCCATAATCCAGACAGCATAAATGGCTGGGGTTATGGAAATTGTAGTCTTAACACCAGGTTGGGAAAAGCTGGTCTGGGGTCACATTAAAATCCCACACTAGTTTAGTGTTTAGATGGGAAATAACGTTTGAGTAACTAGTTCTGAACTGTAATCCTTGTTATTTTATGTATATTTTAAGGCATAAATTGATTGCCAGCTTTGTCTGAGTTCCCTTGTCTTTGGGGTAGGGGAATCTGGATTGTTAACCAATCTATTTAGACAAGTGTTGATGGTATTTACTTATAGAAGTGCCCTCAGTAGTGGATTACAAATCAAAACATTGCAATTAAACTGTAAAGTCAAGGCCAACTAAGATTGCTAGTAACTCTTCTAAACTCTCTGCTATACCTTATGTTTTATTTATTTCACCACACTGTGAATTTTCTTTCAGGGCTACATGTACAGCTTGTGTTTTTGCTGTATTAAGAGATGTTGAGGCTGTGCTGAAAATACTGCGCTTCCAAAAAACTGGGGAGTGGAGGCGGTCTTGGCTCATTCTTGTATAGTGGCTGCTATTCCATGCATGCTTGGAAGCTTGTCTATATGCAGCAAGGCTCCTTACTTTTATTTTTAACTGGTAGTGAGCTGTATCAGTGATGCTGACAAGAAGGTTAAGCTGTCATTTCTTAAATGAAACTTCAAGGTATGACACATGCCACAGTTAATGGCCTGAAATTTATGTTGGTGTGATAGCTATTTAATTTCTGTACCACCCAACAGCCAAAACATTCTGTGCGGTTTGCAGCAGGAAGGAGCTCCTGTATGTGTTTAAAGATGCTTCAGAGCCCTTCTGTAAATATGAATGCTGCTGCTCTGGGGCAGAGCCCTTAGCCGAGCACTGTTGTTGAGGCAGAACCTCTTTTGAACATACTGTAGCAATTGAATGTGAATGGGCATTCATATAAATATAGGCCTATTGACTTCACGGTACTCGACCAGGAGTCAAAGCATGGTGCCAATAAGCACTCATGAAACATTTGGGTTTTTATTGTCATTTTTCCTTTTTTTCCAATATGCATGCATGGATCGGTATGAAATGCATACAGCTTTCCAGTACTTCAGCTTTCACAAAAGCTGACCACATGTGTAAATAAGTACCCATTTGAAGTAACATAAGAACATAAGACAACCCATGCTGAATCAGACCAAGGGTCCACTTTGTCCAGCATGCTGTTAACAGAGTGGCCAACTAACGGTGCACAAGGTCCCACAAGCAGGATGAGCACAACAGCAAGTTGTACATATAGGCATACTGCCTCTGATACTGAAAAGTTGGTTCCTTTATGCCACCCATTCATACATAGAAATGTACAGAAAATGTAAGATCCTCAATTCATTGCATTATAGTGAATGTTTATCCTCCCATTGCTGTACTATAAATCTTTTAGCTATTTAGAGGATCTAGAGAATCCTCTTATGCTGAGTATTTGTTAATTTCCAGGAAGTATATAAATAATGTAAAAGAGTGTCCGCATCAGTGATAATTAAAGACTGTTCTAGTACAAAATGTAATAATGATATCTCTCCAAAAAGAAGCAGCTACTTCTAAAACTTGTTTAAAAGAAACAGTTGCATTGCATCACCAACAATTTGCTGAGTTAGACAATCCAGTTCTGAAGAGATGTTGCAATATCCAAGAAGTGAAACAAAAGTTCTTGCTGAATAAGACTCAACCTAAAATCCATAGGTGCCAGAAGTAGATGTCAAAGGAGTGATCCACTAATTAGGCTTTTTATGGTAGAGTCCATAGCAGTTTCTCAAATTTCCAAATGCGTCCACAGGTCCAAAAAGTTCAGGGGCCCCTGTATTAGGCAGTAGTAATGTATGAGGAGTCCAGTTTCAGGGCAGGAATCTGTTGAATTTCCTTGGCTCAGGTCCCCAGACTCTGGCCCCTTTTCTCTCTGCCCTCCTTCTCTGCCTCATGCTGAACATTTGCGTGCATGTCTGGCAGGAAACCAGTCCAAGCAGTCTGCAAGCTTGGCTTGTGCACATGCTGTCCATGTGCCCACTGAGCAAGCAGAGGTCTGCACGCATGACTTGTGAGCTTGACATACTTTGTGCAAAGAAACAGTAGTGTTCCCAAGCATTAGTAGATCGGCTCACTTCCTGGGCCAAGTGTGGGAAAGAAGTCCCACAAAGTACAAATGAGTCAAAATCTGGCCTAGGTAAAGCAGATGATACAAAATCTCCAGTGTAAAAGGAGATATCTGAATGTGCAACAGTATTGAGAAGGTCTAGGCAGAATAGTGACTGACCTGCATGGCTGTGCTTGTCAAAAACTGTTAGAATGAAAAGAGGTTTTGGTTCTTTAGCAGTTTTTCATTAAATGTTGGGTAGGATCCAGGGATCCCTTTAGTCAGTGAAAACGAACCTTTGCATTCAAGCCACTGGAATGGAGCACTTGGGAGGTAGCTCTTAGGAGCAAGCATTTGATGGATTAGGTACATCTGCCTGTCTTCCCTTCCCTTCTTTGTTTTGTTGTGTTTAATTTTGGATTGTGAGGGATATAGGTCATCCTACTGGCTCTATTCGACATAATGGTGGTAGTAATTTAGGGGTTAATTAACTCCAGAATGGTGGGGGACCATGCCATGCATAAAGACTTCCAGTAACAACTCCCAAATATTAAATTTGAGGGCTCATGCCATGACACCCAGAACCAGGAACTTGAGGTTGTTTCTAGGTTAAACAATTCCAGGTTAACTCTCAGATAATTCCTGAGTTTAATCCACTGCCTGTCTTAATCTTTGAGATGGGAAATAGTGTAATAAAAATAAATTGCTTTCCTTCTTCTAGAACCCCTTTTCAGTGGCTGTATTTGTGCTGTCTTAACCTGATTGGGGTTTTTTTTTTCTTCAGGTGAACCTGGCGGTAATTATGGTTATACCAATAGTGGTTATAGCGTGTATGAGGAAGAAAATGAGAAGTTAACTGAAAGTTTGCGTTCAAAAGTTTCTGCCATTAAATCAGTAAGTATATCAGTATAGAAGCAGTGTTGGAGTGTATCTTGCCTGCTCAATTGGTTGTAACAGCAATATAGTCATGGCTTAACTGATGGGTGTTCATGGAAGTTGTAGCTCCAACACATCTGAAGGACAACAAGTTGGAGAAGGCTGCTTTGTGCATTTATGCTGCTGATGACTTTTCATCCAGCTTTTAATTAAGGCCTTCTGGCTTTAAAGAAGCATGGGGAATTTTGCCTAAGAATTGTGTATCAAAGAGATATTAAAGAGAAGCAAGCAAAAAGTATGAAAAAGTAGCTGTCTGAGCAGAAAAGTTCAGCTATCTCCTGAGGAGCAGTCCATGGCTGATCTGACCACAGAAGATTGTGAGCTTGTTATGGCGGCAAAAACTGATGAAAAATGGGTAAGATGGGACTTGCTTGTGCCCTGTATCACTCTTAACCACCGTATCACACTGGCTCTAATAAAGGGAAAGATTTGTAAAGTAATGCAATGAGTGTGTACTTAGTTTCAGTAATCATTATACCTTTGGACAGCAGAACAAAAGAAAAATATAACAGTGGTGTTTGTGAATGTTTTTCTTGCTAGCTGTGAGGAAAATTTCAGTGTGGGAAGGATTTCATGTGTGAAAGCCATAGCAACTTAAAACATTTTCTTATAGAATCTTTTCATCTTTGCTTTTCTCTCTGCTTCTAGAAAGCATATTAACTGTACTGGCTATAGTCCAAACAAACTTAGTTTTGTTTGAAGTAATTTAGTTAGTAGTGTGGATCATAATTCAACTATCTTCTGTCTTTCTCCTCATAGCTTTCCATTGAAATTGGAACGGAAGTTAAACAGCAAAATAAAACTTTATCTGAAATGGTATGTCTGATCAAAGTTGTCAGCGGCTTTAGTTTCACTTGGAATTTGATTAACTTTCAACTTGATGAGTAACTTCACTTTCTTTAAACATGTTATATGTATTTTAAAAACACCTAATATTCACTTTCCGCTGGTGGACATGCATTTGTTTTCTCCCACCCCAACCTGTCAGGATTCAGAGTACCATCCTTCATAAAAAAACAATTGATTGAAAGTTGCTTAACGTTCTAACAGCTCTGTCTACACAGAGCTGGCTGTCTACACAGAGCTGGCTGGCTAAAGAGCTGGCTGTCTTTATGGATGTTGCTCTGGACCAAAGCAAGAGTTTATTAAAATTATTTCCTAGCTCCCTTCTCAATTGCTCAACACGATATATTTGTTCCCATCCCCATTTACACAGTTCTCTGCAGTTAGGCTATGAGACAATGGCTTGGTTCACACAACACATCAAACAACCCTGCAGTATTTCCACAGTGCAGGATTTTTGCCTGAACATACCTATCAGATGATCATATGGTTACCTGTCCTTTCCCTGCAGCAGCCTCCTCCTGATTGATCTGCTGCCTGAGGTGGGTTCCCCCATTCCCCTTCCTGAGTATACCTGCATGTCTGCAACAGTTCCTTGCTGATCCAGCTCCTACAGTGGTTTTTATTAAATGAAACAGTCTTGCTGCAATTCTTGGCCAATGGGAAGAAAGTGAACAATAATGTTTATGCTGCTAGGGAGCTGAGGGCAGTAGAAATTGAAGGCTAGAAACAACACTTTTTGCAGCTATTCTTGCTTAGGGACTCCATGTTGTTTCCATACCAACAATGGTGCAATGGTACCCTGGGTCTGGACTACTGGAGATGCCACAGTGAAACATGAAACCGTGGAACAGACTATGAATTCTCTCTGTGGTTTCACAAGTCTAATTTTACCACAGTGGAACTGGGGCTGGATGACAGAGCACACCTGCAACATAAGATTTTCCCATGGCTTTCAAGTTGTGCAAACCTGCCCAAAGACCACACAGTTCAGTGGGAATTTGACCCTGGTTCCCCCAGTCCTAGTCCAGCAGTTTAAGTACCACATCAGACTGGCTTTCTTGTAAAGAAACTTCATGCTTTGCAGTGTTATCTTCGTGTATTCAGAACTGAAACTGTAGGTAGCAAATAGTTGCCTCTTATATTCCGTATATAATTACTATTTTTTAAATCACAGGACAATGATTTTGATTCAACGAGTGGATTTCTCGGTGCAACCATGGGTAGACTGAAAACCCTCTCCAGAGGAAGCCAAACAAAACTCTTGTGCTACATGATGCTATTCTCACTCTTCGTCTTTTTTGTAATTTACTGGATTATTAAATTGAGGTGATACAACTCTCCACTTTAAGAACATGAATGCCATACTAGACTTCTAGAAATGTCTGTGTAAAAAATTGTGAACACTCTTTTGTAAATTGCATTAAGGATTAATGCATCTGGTTCTGTACTGTGTATTTCTCTATTTTTATCAGGCCAGGAATATTTCTATTTTAAAGCCCTTATTTTGTAGGGTTCTTAAACTGAATTTGCTCAAGCCTGAGCACTTTGTAGAGACAAAAAATAGTTACTTAGCATGAAAATACGTTGTTAAAATTGCAAAGTAAAAAGGTTTTTTTCATGTTCACAAGCAGCCTTTCTATTTTATAACTCCTGCTGCTTTTTTCTACCAATAAAAAGCAATCTCACTTGATTATGCTATGTATAAGTTATACTAGTTTTTGTAAAAAGAAAGATGAGTCTATCAAAACTAAGTACTGTTAAATCTCATTGTTTCATTAAGAAAATTTAGTACATGCTTAACTTTGGCTGTATTGTGTCCATAGTGAGTTGCAGTAACTGTACAAATATATTTGAGATAGATTTGTTAACATCTTAATTTATTAATTTACTTTTTTTCCATTTTGGGAGGGAGAGATTGCTGAACAGAATAGACAGCTGCTCCAATCAACAAAAAGTGGTAATGAACTTAGTACAAGTGACCAAGTTGCTATATTTTAAAACATCTTCTGATGTAGGGAGCATTTGCAAGATTCAAAAAGAAAAGAAGATATTTGGAGATGTTCAGATGGCTGTGGTTACTGGGTTGGAGCTAGATTAGTTATTCTTTGAATATAGCCACTGAAATCAAGGGGAATTAACTAAAATAGGTCTCACTGACCTCAGGGGTTTATTCTAGATATGCGTATGATGGGATCCAAAATATTTGGTCTGAAAGAAAATCAAAGACCTACTTAACTCAGAAAGAATATAATATATTAATATAGGGATTCTCGTCTGGTGTCTGTAGATTTGGGTTGCTGCAGGATCAATGAGGCTGCAGCAGGAAGCAGCAAATAGATTTTTCAGCTGGTTCCATAGTTTTTATGGGAGCCTTTCAAGGAAGTAGTATAAAATTTTTTACCTAAGTACGCTGCACTCTGTTTCTGTAATTTTTGTGCCCATCTGAACATATCTACTATTGGAGAAAAGCATTAAGGAAAACACAATTAAAATTGTCTGCCTAAGTATTACCCAGTATCTAAAAATAGTGCTTACCCTTCAGATGCTACCCATTTATCACCTAAACACATTTAGCTTGCCATTCCAAAATGATCAGGAGCAGTGCATTAGAGAACTGTACATATTAGACTTCTTAGCACACAGGCAGAGAAAGCTAGTCTGTTATCTAAATTTCCACTGTAGGAGCACATTATGTTGAAGGATTATGTGACGGCACGTCCAGTTGCAGTGTAGTCATCATCTCATATGCATTTTGGATATGTTAGGTTTCAGGGTCCCTTTAAGTGAAGAATCAGGTTACCTGGATAACCATTCCCAGGACTACAATGCTGCTGAGGTGCCAGTTTTTTAATTTAACAGTACTAAATTCCTTCTGTGGAACCATATTGATGTGAGCAAGGACACACCTACATGTATTTGCATTGAAGCATTTTAGAATTCGCTTGCAGAGCAAGGGATGATTTACAAAACACACACAATGGAACATCTCATGATTTGTAATTTATTAGAACATAATAAACATAACAAGAAACTTGGAATTTCTTACAGAAAATGGCACTTCCATTGTTTTAACTCTTTAAAAAGATGAATTTCTTAAAATCCATGTATTCATTTTATTATGTTTGAAATGCATAAATGTGATGTTTATTAAGGCTCAGGCATGGTGCAACTGTAATATAACAAAATTAGAGAGACGATACTGTGGGCTTTCTTTGTGCCCTCCAGCTCCTCTTCTCTAGTTAACAGATTCAATTGGGGAAAACAAGTGAGATGGTCATGATTAAGAAATCTGGCTTTGGAATTCAGAAAACACAGTATTTGAATTATGAAAAAAAGCTAATTGTAGAATCCTATCCCAGTACTGCTCTCCTGCCCCCTCCCCAAAAAAGCACGAATCCTACTCCATCAGGGTTCTTATATGAATTTTAAATGAAACAGCCCTCTTTTGAGGAGAGTCTAACTTAGCTTGCAATGTTTTGGCCCATGTGCATTCCTACAAGCAAACTACACTGCAGGAAAGGACATGGCTCATCCTGTGTACTGAGTCCTCATGGCCTAGTTCCTGACTGGTTGCTGAAACTAGAGGGAAGTATCAAGAACTCCAGATGTATCTGGAAGAAAAATATGAGTGACTGTTTTGGCAGCACACATGTTCCACCTCTGCTTCCATGTAGATGTACAACCTAATTCTGGTCATTAAAGGGTTTCCCCAGTTTGATGTAATTGGGCAGTATAACTTTGTGGGCACAGATGTGGCAAAGCACAGAAGCCTATTATGAAGCAGAATAATTTAAAATAAATGTGCCCAACATGTAAGACATTTATAAAATGAGCACTGAAAATGTCAACACATTCCAGTGATAATATGAATTCCAAAATTCCCTCTTTTGTGGGGCCAAAATGGTAGTTTTTTCACCGTATATAGAATAAGTGGTCCAAGTAAGTTCTTAAAAATTAAAAATAATTTTAACTGCATTCAGTACAAAGCCAGTTAACAACTTATTGCAATTATATTCCTAGTAATTGTCAGGTACAATAGCACATTATATTACTTTAGCCAATAAGATGGAATCGATTGTGTGTGCGTATGCATGTGTGTGCACACACATATGCACACACAGAGGAGGTGTGATGGTCAACTGTAACATTCTGTGACTTAACCATTGTAATTGCAGTAACAGTATACCTAAACAAATACTCTTGGTCAGTCTACATATGGGTTCAATCAATACTTTGCTATTCCAAATGTTGAAATTTCATCAGAGCCAGTAGGGTGTGATAGGATTCATGCAGCCTTTTTAAGAGGGTAGGCGGTGTTTGACAGGCCAAGGGATATTCTAACCTGATGTTGCTCTACAGAATGCAGAACCAAGTAAGTGATTAATCTTCAGTTAAAACTGATGGAGAAAAAGGTTCTGGGGCAAAGTAAACAAATTTACCTAGCAGTGTATGAACAGCAGGGTAGCTCAGTATAGGCTTTCGGCGAAATCTGTATAAGCTACTGCTTGTGTTCTGGTTTTCTTTACATAAGTTTAATATTAGAAATTTCACAGAAAGAAGCCAGATCTCCGCCTGTAAATGGGGATAGAGGTAGCAATAAGAACACTTTGGGTAAAATGGGTGTGTGTGTGCTTGATTCTAGTAGTGGCTTTATGGTGTGGTGTGGCATATCAGGTGCATATGAGTAAGCATTTAAGCTATCAGGTTGGTTGGTTCTTCGAAAATTGTATATTGCATATTCTTTCCCCAAAGAGTCTACTTGATGTACCATATTAAAATATAAAATTCTTCAAAAGTCTGTAGGGTTCATGGCGGTTACTTCTTTGGTAAGATGCCCATGTATTTGCATATAATAGAAAGCATGACTTCATCAGCTCCAGCTCCTATTGATAGCAACCGTGTGTCTCTGCCAAGGCAAAAATGAGATAGAATGAAGTTTGTCCTCATCCCTTCTTTTTTCACTGTGTTTTAAACCAAACTGGGTTTAGTAGTGCTTTTTAATCAGAAGCATTCAATTGCACTGTCTCCCAAGTAAGTATGTAGTCATCTCAGGGAACAACCCTGTGGTCACTGGGAAGATAGGTGATAACCTTAGGAAGCTGCAGATCCCCCACTCTACTGTAGAAAGCAGGCGATCATGATGGACCACTGCCAGAAGCTTCCTTAGTGCAATAACAAGATCCACCCCTAATCAGGATGACCAAACTGGGGGGAGAGAGAGATGATCCCCCAAATGATCCTGATTTGCCAGGGGAAGACTGGGTGTGTGAATTGGTATATATGTTTGTGCTTTGCTCATGCTGTGTGTGAAAAGTGTAAGCATGTAAGAGGGGAGAAAGCATGCAAGTGTGTGCCCTCACCTTCACAGGCCCTATTCACTGCCACACTGCCCACCTGTATGGCCTGCCAAGCATTTCCCAGCCACAGCTACAGTTCTCAGTCTGAAAAAGTGGTCCACCCCTGTTTTAGCTGAAAGTATTTCATTTCAGTCCAGCCTTCATGCTATGGTCTTTGGCTATTCTCAAACAGAGTAACTATAGTTTAGCATTCACTCTCATCAGTGAATAAAATTTTAGTATCTGAAAATAGTTCCTACTCCCTGATTATGTGAGTGAATGGTTAAGTATTTCAAGTATATGAAAAGATCTGAAGAATGGCCAAAAGCGATTTTGTGCATTCTTAATATGTCCTAATACAGACATGGTTAGACAATGGATTTTGTTTTCTTATGGAGCAAAATGACTGACTTTGTTTTATGCATAACCTGAAAAATACTAGTTTTGCCACTCAAAATTGGGATTCTACAACTGGAATACAAGAATTATGTAGTAACTGCAACTGGGGCTTTACTCTTTAGGCAGTACCTTTCCTCCAGTTAGTGGAACATAAGCTATCCACACATGCTTATGTTCACTTATTTTTACACTTCACACACCATCCAAAATTAAGTTAAAGCTTTGCTAATATAAAAAGAAACATGTTTCTTATCAACATTTTTTCTCTGCTTACTCAAAGAAACCTACGCATTTCATTTAAGTCTGGCGACAACTCAGTAGCAAATGGATTTAGTAAGTTCAACTGGATTTTGTAATTCAAAAATGGGGAAAGCAGCTTTTCTTTATCCTAACATTCCTAAGTGCAACCTGAAATCTGTAGGACACCTAATAAAGCTTAACCCTTTCAAGTCTGCTGCTGTTCTTTTACACTTAAGGCTGACCATACAAACTTAATGACACTAACATCAAGTCATTATCCCTGTGTTGGTGACTGATAATGCATTTGTACATTTTTTTGACTCTAGAAAAGATATTGCTTGACTGCATTTTGTATGCCTACCTTTGAAGGTTCATTTAAAGAGTTTGGCAAAATTATAATGTTCTAAATATAATGAATTAACTCAAATATAATTAAATGGCCACAGTGGCAAAACTTTAAAAACACTGAAGACATTAAAAGAATATCTGCCCCTTCCTGTTGAGTAGCTGCAGCCTCAATCATGGCTCAAAAGTAGCATTAATTAATTTGTTATGGCTGAATTAGGAAGCGGGTACTGTAAATATTTTCCAGTTTTTGTTCCACCTTACAGAGTACACTCTGGAAACTTGAGGCAAAACACAACAAGCAGCACTTTGGGGAGGCTGGTTTGCATGCTGTGCTAGCCTATTTTATGAGCAGGTTTATGACCACCTTGCAAATTAGTCTGCTTCAAATTAATGCCTTTGAGGTGGCTGAGCATGCCCAGCACACGCAGAATAAATGGGGGAAAGTTGCAAGGCAGTATATATTTATTTTGAGAGGTTCCTGCCTGCCAGTCTTCTGTAAAAAGCATTAATTTGAGCTAGACAAATTTCAAGGTAATGCTTATGCTCACCTGTTCAATTTAATTCTTAAAACTGGGAATTAAGATAAATGGTGATATCCTCATGCAATATAAGAACACAGCATGTATATCTGGAGTGGGTGATTTTCTTTCAATAACGGCTCCTTTCTTATGAGGGTTTCTTGGCTTTGATGGAACTACTTCCAGGAGGGGACAACTGAATAGCAACTCTGGATGCATGGAGAGGTACATAGGTAACGACACAGATTAGGTCAGGCAGAGGGTATGTCTTTCACCCTAAGGACTGGATTCAATTTCATGGGAGCTCTCAGGTGCATTCAGTTTGTGAGTTGGGTCAAAAATACCAGGATATTGTAGCATAAATCTCTTACTGCTAGTAACTAAGCCTTAGGAGTGGCATTTCAATCTTTTAGAATGCAGAAAAAACTTTCAAAAAAGCATCACCAAACACTATTGCAAGGAACTTGACTGGGGCAGAGCAAGGAAGCATGGCCAGCTGAGAAACCCTGGAGGGCTGGATTTAGCCCCTGGTCCTAAGGTTACCTACCCCTGCGTTTTCTCCTCACCAACAAGTTCCAATATGTTTGTTACAAGTTACGCTATTCTTAGTGCTTCTATTTTATTTCAAAATAGGTGAGCCTGTGGCCCTCCAGATGTTGGGTTGTCCACAGACAGCTCTGGCTGGCTCTGACAGGAGTCTGACCAACAACATGTGGAAGGGTGCAGGGTCTCCACACCTGCTTTATGGTAGCTAGATTCAGAATTCAGATTATTTTAATGATACTGAATGCCACATGCACATTTGAGTATATGCATAGGCTGTACACCGGCATCAAGAGTTACACTAACATCTAAAGTTACAAGGGCTGAGGGGGAATTGGCCCCTTTATCTTTTCTGATGGCCTATAATTTGCTTTCTACCATCTGGGGGAAGCAAGGGACAGGATTTGCGGATTTCCATGATGCCTCCGCCACTCTTCCCTCCCTTATTGGAGCGCTGGCTCATCAATTTCAATGAATAGTGTTTCCTCAGGGTGAGGTAATGGCCACCAACTTGAATGGCTTCACCAAGGGGTTAGAGGCAGTACTACTCTCAGTACCACTTAATGGGGAACGTGAATGGGCCAAAGTCCTGCTTGCAGACTTTTTATAGGTGTCTCTTTGGGCATGGCAAGAATTGAATGCTGGACTGAACAGTCCTTGGGCAATTTCCATGTTTTTACAGAATGAAGTTTTGCATACCTGCATCTTTGCTCATATTGAGGTGGTCCAGCCCTAGAAGTGAACTGAGCAATTATGCAACTGAATGAATCAACCCAATACTACAGAATACAGTGTGACAAGGGATTCATGGATAGAAATATACAGTTAATCTATGCCAGTAAGCAATATTTCCAAAAGCTTGTATTGCCTCCAGTATCAGAATAAAAAGTGATGCAATAAGGGAATGCAACACACAGCACGGGAGTTTGGAGAGAAGTTGGCTCTTTGCAAATTGTTTCTTCCCTAGCACTTGAAAAATATTTGCCTACTGAGAGCCAATGTGGGAAGGGTCGAGCCAAGAACAGAACAGCTGATGGGATTTCTCAGTGCCTGACCAATGTATTTCCACATGAAGCAAATGACAGCCTGACTGCATCCAGAGATGCTATGGAACAGGACTGTTGCAGTAAGGCAAACTAACCTGTGTGTCAGATGCTCACTAAAGGTTGTGCAGCAAACTTGACTTCATAGTGTGATGTGAAGGGACATGCCATATGGTTAGGACAACTGAAACTTCCAGTCTTAAGAATGTCATTGCTACACCAACAACCACAACAAAGACTAAGCAAAAGTAATAAATATTGAGAAGCTATTCCTGGCCCCAGAAAAATACAGCAGGGAGTGTACATATATGTATAGTTGGTTCTTTGACTCTTCTCCATGGCTGCGGACATTTGAAGGAGGGCAACAAAAAGCTGAAGTGAATCCCATGATACTATTTGAGAAAGCAAAAATATTTTCTCTAAATCTGCATAGCAGAATGAAATTGTCGATGTTATATCACGTATGGATGCACTTCCCATTCTTTAAAGCAGTCTTCCCCAACCTGGTGTTCTCCCATTGGCCATGCTGGGTGGGATTTATCAGAGTTGCAGTTAGAGATGGGGGTGAGTTTTTTTGTTCAATGTATACACTTACCGAATTTCATGCTTTCGAACCAATACATAAAACAAATCACAGATATCCTTTGAAATTCAAACTTCTCTGAATTTTGCAGTACTCTAATTAAAGATTACATACAAAATGCATATATTATGGAAATGTGCCCACACAAATGCATATATTCATGAAAATAGTATAGAATCTGCATTATCATGAACATCTCTTCCATAATACCAGGGTGCCATGAAACTGATGGGTGGGAGTTTTAGTACAGATAAAAGCACATTTTTCTTCACATGGCACATAGTTATGGAATTCTCTATTACAAGATATCATGATGGCCACCGATGTGGATGGCTTTGAAAGGGGACTGGACAAATTCATGGAGTCTAAGGCTGTTGAAGGCTACTAAAGAAATAGTGAAGGCAGGATGCCTGTGCACACACGTTGCTGGTGAACTGGCACAGAAAGATGCTGCCACACTTGCGTCCTGATTGTGAGCTTTCCATAAACAGCTGTTGGCCACCGTCCGAACAGAACAGAATGATGAAATACATGGACTCCTGGTCCGATCCAGCATGGCTCTATTCACATGCTTTTGTTAGGAAAACTTGCAAAATGTGTATGCTGGGCAATATTGTATTGAGAAAAGTGTGTGTTACAAGTAATGAGTGCAAAAAATGTGTTCATGTGAACTTTAAAGTCTGAAAAGAACCAAATTCAATTTGAAAAAAAGAGGAATTGAAATGGACAAATTCAGCCATCCTGTGTCGTAATCCAACACATCCAGAAGGCACCACATAGGGAAGGTGGTTTGAAAGCAAGGGTTTTTCTAGTCTTCCATGGTAACCATAGCAAAAAAAAAAAGAAGAAGAAGGAAAGACCCTCTCTGACATCCTTGCTTTTTTCTTCCCCAGGAGTAACAGTAGCCTGGTCAGAATTCAAGGACTGACATAGCTGTGTCAGGGAGCACATATGGTTGAAGCAGTATTTATTACTTCTGGAACACCAATACATTGCCAGTGCCAGAGAGAACATTTGTGTTTGCCTTGCCAGCAGGATTCTGCCCCATGTGTGTTTAGATACACTTTTGGATTCCAACTGCAGAGACTAAATATCAGAATGTGATGGTGGCAGGGGGTGTAACATTTAAAAAGAAATATAACAGTGTCAGTGAATGCACAGAGTTTGTATACAGCCTGGGGAGTTGTGGGGTGTGTCAGTTCAAAGAACCTAATACTCCAACACCTTGTAGCAAACCATGAAATCTTGGTTAGCAATATGAATATGTGCAGCTATTAAATTATGTTGGAGACACACTGAAGAAGAGGTTAGACCTTATTTCATGACAAGGCATCCACTCACCTGTACGATCGACTCACTAGCACCTCATTAGTGAATCCCATTCCTCCCCAGAACTGGAGACAACGGTCTGCTACCTCTCGAGACAGACGGCCTGCCTTTAGTTTAGCCATGGATGCAAATTTGGTAACATCATGGCCACGGATGTAGAGCGCTGTAATACAAGCATAAGCCATAGATCAGGTTGCTTATTAGAGTATCCAGTTCTACTCAAATAAAAAGGCATTTTCATGTCAAGCAGACATCCAGAGCAAAACTTTACTCACCAACAGCATGATAGAGCAAGGAACGGAGAAGCTCAATCTCAGTTGCCAATTCAGCCAGACAAAAATGCACTGTTTGGTTATGAAGTATTGGCTGGTTGAATGCTTTACGTTGGCGAGTATAATCAATTGTTTCTTGTACCACATTTTCCAGCTGTTCCAAAACTATAGGAATTAGAGAAGGAAAGAGAAAAGTTGATTTACTTTATGCCCTCCTCATACAAAAAGGTGAACAATATTTCTAGGTTTGTATACCTGCCAAGGTAGGGTGCATTCACATACCCTGAAAGTATGTAGAAATACGAGTCAGAGGTATAGAAGTGTGCCTAGCAATGTGATGAAACGGCCATGTGAATGCTTCAAGTGTGCCCCAAGTCCCCATTTTTCAACTGGTCCACAGAAGCAAGGATGCAATGGCATGTTTCGACAAAACTGTGGTTAAATGATGGCTGCTTCAATTGGGTTGCTTCCTCAGGACTCTTCTTCCCTGGTAGCCAGCAGGGGCATCTGTGAACTGACTCCCTTGCAAAGCATTGTGGGCAGGAGTTAGGGTAAGAGGCGACAGAGAGCATGTGCCTTTTCTCAGGCCTGTTCCGCCACCTTTTAGTCAGCAGAAGAGCAGCAGAGACTGAAGCTTTGTTCTCCACAGCTGGGGCCCCATTAGGCTGCACAGCCTAAGCCCAAGCATTAATTTATAGCGTTAATTGCAAGAACATATAAGTGATCTCTAAAATAAAATCGTAAACATGGCATTTCCAACAGGGATTTTTAAAAAGAAAAATGCTGCATAAAAACTGTACGACAGATGGCAACGTTAGAGGTGTCCCCACCACAATGTACCAAATACGCTAATAAAACAGGAAAACGTTTTATTTTTATGGTGCTGAACAAAATGGGATGTAATTAAAAAAGGTAAAATCATCTTTTTAATATGAGATACTTTCCATAATATCCATATAATGCATATTGCTTTTGGGGTTTTAAATACAGCTTCATTCAGCATTCCCCACCACCACAAAAAAGTACATCTGCTCTCTCTCTTTTTCTGCTTTGCCATCTCTGTGTATCATCCTTTCTATTTTGTATCTTCTGTGTATGTCATGACAAGGCACAGAAGGAAGGAACTATGAACTTCAGCATATAAGGAAAAAAGCCGGGCTCAGTCCATTCAAAGTCTACCATTCTATTCACACAGTGGTAACACACAGGAAGCCCAGATGCAGGCCATGCCTGCGACCATGCCATCCCAACATCCCATGTTCCTTGGCAGCAGGTATACAAAAAGAAATCGCCTTAACCTCTGCGAATTTGTCTAAGTTATCCAGGATGGCAGACCTCACCACGTCTTGTAGTGACCAGTTCAGCGGTGTACTGTGGGGGAAAATGCTGTGTTTCTCCCCACCTTTTTCTTTCCAGCAAACCAAAACTGAAAATTCATAAAATACACTCTTTTCTTGGAGCTTAAAGAAAAGGCTTTGCTGTGAAACAGGGTATTTTCTGTGAAAGCTGTTAGCAAGTTGCATAAATCAAAGTAACAAAGCCTCCAATCTGCAGCAGGAGCGTCTGCCCATGTGAAGAGTTCTTTGTAAACTGGGGCACCTTCTTCCTCGCTTCTATTTCCGTGGGTCTTGACACCATCCTCAGGGTGGTTCATGCTCCTTTTGCCCCAGATGGTGGGAATGCCTGATGCCACATAAGGTCTTCCCATTCTGCACAGCACCGGGTCAAGGAATCACTCTTCCCACTCCCATGTTCTACATTGACTCCTCCCATGCCCAAGAAGGTATAGTTCTCTGACTAATCTCGCTTGCTAACCTAACTTTTCAGAGTCACCTGTCAACTCCTCCTCTTTTACCCTATTTATCTCACGTTCTGAAGCTGAACTGTCTGGCTGGGAATCTTGTCTTGTGAGAAAGCTGAGCCCTGTCTCCACAAGAATTACTTCCTCTTCTTCATCCTGAATCTCTCACCACTCAGGATGGTCCTGAGTTCTAACCCACTTTCTCCATACCATGCATCTCTCACATCCCTTCTCTGCTTGTCATTTTCTCCTACATTAAAGAACCAGAAATGTAACCTTTCCTTGTATGAGACAAGCTTTAGCCTCTGGATTATGCTAGCTACCCTTTTCTGCAGTTCTACCTGTGCATTAAAAAATTGGCTGTTTCTAGCAAGAAATTGGCTTTTTAAATGCCCACTGGGGAACAGTTCTGTTCTATCACTGCCTCCCCCAAAAATACCCTTTGGAAGTTCCAAAATACCCTTTGAAAGAGGCTTTGCCAAAAGGTTCATGACTTACCACTGGCTGCTCCCCACATACGTTCTTCTTGGAATTGCAACATCTGGTATGTAAAACCCATTCCTTCCTCTCCAATGAGGTATTTGCTAGGAACTCGGACATCTTCAAAAAAGATTTGTGCTGTGTCAGATGATCGCATCCCCATCTTATCGATCTTCTTGGCAACATGAACACCTAAACAAGAAGGGTCATGGAACAAGGTATAGGAAATGATTAGCTCCAAGCCAAAGTGTGATATTTTCTTAAGAGAGGCAGATAGCAGTAATTCGACTCTGTCATCCTATCTACAACTAAGACGCTCATATTTTTTAATTTATTTTTATTTATTTTCACTCCTTCATGGATCACTGCCTTGTCGTGGCGAAGGGGCTTGTGTAGCTCAATGAAGCTATGAGCTATGCCGTGCAGGGTCACCCAAGACGGACAGGTCATAGCAGAGAGCTCTGACAAAACGTGATCCACTGGAGAAGGAAATGGCAACCCACTCCAGGATCTTTGCCATGAAAACCCCATGGACAGTACCAAAAGGCAAAAAGATATGACGCCGGAAGATGTGCTCCTCAGGTTGGAAGGTGTCCAATATGCTACTGGGGAAGAGCAGAGGGCTAGTACTAGTAGCGCCAGAAAGAATGAAGCAACTGGGTCAAAGCCGAAAGGACACTCAGTTGCTGATGTATCTGGTGGTGAAAGGAGAGTCCGATGCTGCAAAGATCTATACTCCATAGGAACCTGGAATGTAAGATCCATGAATCAAGGCAAGCTGGATGTGGTCCAACAAGAGATGACAAGACTGAACATCGACATCTTAGGAATCAGTGTACTAAAATGGACAGGAATGGGTGAATTTAATTCAGATGATCATCAGGTATACTACTGCGGGCAAGAATCCCTCAGAAGAAATGGAGTAGCCTTCATAGTCAATAAAAGAGTAGGAAAAGCAGTACTGGGATACAATCTCCAAAATGACAGAATGATCTCAGTTTGAATCCAAGGCAAACCATTCAACATCACAATAGTCCAAGTCTATGCCCCAACCACTGGTGCTGAAGAGGCTGAAGTTGACCAGTTCTATGAAGGCCTACAACACCTTCTAGAATTAACTCCAAAAAATGATGTCCTTATCATCATGGGGGATTGGAATGCTAAAGTAGGAAATAACCGGAATAACAGGCAAGTTTGGCTTTGGCGTACAAAATGAAGCAGGGCACAGGCTGGTAGAATTTTGTCAAGAAAATACGATGGTCATAGCAAACACTCTTTTCCAACAACCCAAGAGATGACTCTACATATGGACATTACCAGACAGTCAACACAGAAATCAGATTGACTACGTGCTCTGCAGCCAAGGATGGAGAAGCTCTATACAATCAGTAAAAACGAGACCAGGAGCCGACTGTGGCTCAGATCATGACTTCCGGTTGCAAAATTTAGGCTTAAGTTGAAGGAAGTAGGGAAAAGCACTAGGCCAATCAGGTATGACCTAAATCATATCCCTGATGAATATACAGTAGAGGTGACAAACAGATTTAAGGAATTAGATCTGATAGACAGAGTGCCTGAAGAACTATGGGCGGAGGTTGGCAACATTGGACAAGAGGCAGCAACTAAAACCATTCCAAAGAAAAAGAAATGCAAGAAAGCAAAATGGCTGTCTGAGGAAGCTTTACAAGTAGCTGAGAAAAGAAGCGAAGTGAAAGGCAAGGGAGAAAGAGAAAGATACAAACAATTGAATGCTGAATTCCAGAGAATAGCTAGAAGAGATAAGAATGCCTTCTTAAATGAACAGTGCAAAGAAATAGAAGAAAACAATAGAATAGGGAGGACCAGAGATCTCTTCAAGAAAATTGGAGATATGAAGGGAACATTTCATGCAAAGATGGGCATGATAAAGGACCAAAATGGCAGGGACCGAACAGAGGCAGAAGAGATTAAGAAGAGGTGGCAAGATTACACAGAAGAACTATACAAGAAAGAGCTTAACGTCCCTGATAACCACGATGGGGTGGTCACTGACCTCGAGCCAGACATCCTGGAATGTGAAGTCAAATGGGTCTTAGGAAGTCTGAGCAATAACAAATCTAGTGGAGGCGACAGTATTCCAGCTGAGCTATTCAAAATCCTAAAAGATGATGCAGTAAAAGTGCTGCACTCAATATGCCAGCAAATTTGGAAAACTCAACAGTGGCCACAGGATTGGAAAAGGTCAGTTTACATTCCGATCCCAAAGAAGGGCAATGCCAAAGAATGTTCAAACTACCGCACCATTGCACTCATTTCACATGCTAGCAAAGTTATGCTCAAAATCCTACAAGCTAGGCTCCAGCAGTATGTGGACTGAGAACTACCAGAAGTACAGGCAGGATTTCAAAGAGGCAGAGGAACTAGAGATCAAATTGCCAACGTACGCTGGATCATGGCTAAAGCTAGGGAGTTCCAGAAAAACATCTACTTCTGCTTCATTGACTATGCTAAAGCCTTTGATTGTGTGGATCACAACAAATTGTGGCAAGTTCCTAAAGAGATGGGAGTACCAGACCATCTTATTTGTCTCTTGAGAAACCTATATGCGGGTCAAGAAGCAACAGTGAGAACAGGACATGGAACCACTGATTGGTTCAAAATTGAGAAAGGAGTTCGGCAAGGATGTATACTGTCGCCCTGTCTATTTAACTTATATGCAGAGCACATCATGAGAAAGGCATGGCTAGATGAATCACCAGTTGGAATTAAGATTGCTGGGAGAAATATCAACAACCTCAGATATGCAGATGATACCACTCTAATGGCAGAAAGTGAAGAGGAACTAAAGAGCCTCTTGATGTGGGTGAAGGAGGAGAGTGCAAAAGTTGGTTTGAAATTCAACTGTAAGAAAACTAAGATCATGGCATCCGGTCCTCTCACTTCCTGGCAAATAGATGGGGAAGAAATGGAGGTAGTGACAGATTTTATTTTCCTGGGCTCCAAGATCACCACAGACGGGGACTGCAGCCAAGAAATTAAAAGATGCTTGCTCCTGTGGAGGAAAGCTATGGCAAATCTAGACAGCATACTAAAAAGCAGAGATATCACCCTGCCAACAAAAGTACGTATAGTCAAGGCTATGGTTTTCCCAGTTGCAATGTATGGCTGTGAAAGCTGGACCATAAGGAAGGCTGAGCGCAAAAGGATTGAGGCCTTTGAATTGTGGTGCTGGAGGAGACTCCTGCGAGTCCCTTGGACTGCAAGGTGATCAAACCGGTCAGTCCTAGAGGAGATCAACCTTGACTGCTCTTTAGAAGGCCAGATACTGAAGATGATACTCAAATACTTTGGCCACCTAATGAGAAGGAAGGACTCCCTGGAGGAGACCCTGATGCTGTTAACAATAGATGGCAAAAGAAGAAGGGGACGGCAGAGGATAAGGTGGCTATTTGGAGTCACTGAAGCAGCTGGTGTGAGCTTAAGTGGACTCTGGGAGATGGCGGCGGACAAGAAGGCCTGGAGGAATGTTGTCCATGGGGTCGCAATGGGTCAGACACGACTTCGCGACTAACAACAAACAATTTATTTTCAATTTATATCCTGCCTTTTTCCTACAAAGGGCTCAAGGCAACTTACATCATTCTCCTCCTCCATCCTATCCCCACAACAACAACCCTGTGAGGTAGGTTGGGCTGAGAGTCTATGACTGGCCCAAAGTCACCCAGTTGGCTCCATGGCTGAGTGGGAACTAGAACCCAGATCGTCTGAGTCCCAGTCCCATGCTCTTAACCACTACACCACACTGGCTCTCCTTATCATCACAAAATGTTATGGTTAAGAAAAAACACAAGTTTCCTCCATTTCCATGTAATCCAAAATAAATAAATTAATTAATAGAATGGGATGGTGACTGTTAATTAGCTGATTAGAATTCTTGATATTTTAAAAGGTCCTGGTTTTCATAATCCTGAAAAATTAAAAGTTTTTCAGTCAGGGTTGACAGACTTGTAAACATGCTCTTGTCATAGCATCAGGCTTGGTTATACAATGCAGAAACTTTTTTCTTAAGCTGTGAAGGCAACAAAGGGTAATTAAAAATACAAGCAAAGAGCCTGAAACTATTTTTCATTTTTCACAATGTCATTTAAATATATATGAACAGCCCACACCTCTGCTGAATTCTTCAGCCCAAGCCAAGCTGAAATTTTTGCTTAGGGAAGAAAAATACTGGGATAAGTTGAGTGCTGTCAGAAGCTACATACATGCTAAAATTGTGCATTTTGAGAAAGCTGCACATATTTCAAATGAATGTTTAACAAATACAAGTTCAGGAATTTGCCATTACTTTTTGGAGAACTTGCGCTCCATTTTGAGTTCAGAGGTGTGATCACATCTTTGAGTGATTTGTACACTGAAACAAAATTCTGTCCAAGAACAAAATCACAGGTTTGTTTCAGACAGCTTGATGAAAATGTCAATCCAATGTGCGGCTGCTGTGAAAAAGGCAAAGTCCATGTCGGGCATATAGGAAAGGCACTGAAACTAGAACTGCTGGTATCACACCATCCTTATGTGAATCTATGGTGTGAGCACAGCTGAATTGCTGTGTGCAGTTCGGTTCACTGCACCTAAAAAGAATGTTATGTAGAGTTGGAAAAACAGAAAGGGCATAGGAGGGCAAAAATGATCAAGGGACTGGAACAACTCTGCTATGAGAAAGGCTAGAACATCTGGAGCTGCTTAGCTTAGGAGAAAAGAAGAAGAGAATGGGAATTATCCTTATTTATGTCATTTCTCTACTACCCATTGTTGAAGCTCCGTGGACAGACCTGACAAAGGTGTGCGAAATTATGCATGGTGTTGAGAAAGTGGATATGGAGACTGTCTTCTTCCTGTCTCATCATACTACAACAGGGTGTTATTCCATGAATCTGATTGGTGGGAGATTCAGAAAAGATTAAAGGAAATGCTTCACACAATAGCTAGTTAAACTATGAAATTCACTCCTGCAAGATGTAATGATGTTTATTTTATTTATTAGATGTATAGCCTGCCTTTAAAAAAAAAAGAACTCAAGGTGGCTTACATCATTTGCATCCTCCTGCTCTCAGTGTTATCCCTACAACCCCCCCCCACCCCACCCCCATGATAGCCAGCACTGGGCAACTTTAAAAGGGGTCTGGACACATCCATGGAGATAAGGCTATTAATGGCTCCCAGTATGCCTCTGATTAGCAGCTGCTGGGGAACATGGGCAAGAAGATGCTGTTACCTTTATGTACGTTCTGCTTGTAGATTTCCCATGAGCACCTGTTTGGCTACTCTGCTGACATCAACAACTTCCTATGCAAGGTCAATAGGATTGGCATGATGAGTTTTCCAGGGATAAACTCATCATGTTACTGATGTTGCACTAGAGCACAATTACAGTAGTGCAATGCTGTTTATCTTAGTAGTGGTGTCAAATAGGGTACTGCTCCAAATACTTCTGAGATAGTGGGCAGTGCAAACATTGCACATACCATCCATGATAACAGTGGATATGCTATTATGAACAGTATTTTGCCATAGAAAGGCAAAAGCTGAGACTGGCCCCAGATATAGCCATTGAAATCAAAGATGCTTAAATCCATTATAACTCACTCAAGTCCCATTTATTTGAATCAGTCTGTTCTAAGTATGACTAAACTCGATCCAGTACAGGAAAGCCAATTGTGGTCTTTTGTGGTGACAAAATAAGCAACAACTCTACATTCAGCTTCAAGAGACTCCGCCAATGTTATCTCGAACTGACTATCTACCTGTGCCGTTGGTCTGTGGATGCTTCCTGAACATTTTAAAGGGGCTTTTTACCTGGATTTATCTAAACCAAAGGAAAGCAATGGAAAGCTGACAGGCTGACTCTGGCTCAGGCCCCCCACCTATTGCTCCTGCCAAGTGATGATCATAAGCCAATTGTTCCAGGAGAAAAGGCAACTGTAGCTTTTATTTCCCTGCAGAAAGGGCTCTGTAGACTAGAAATAACTTCCAACTTGATGTTTCTCAACTGCTGGTTTCAGCATTGTCCACTGTCTTCCCTCATTTCCCTGTAAATATTTTGGACTATTCAACCTCTTAAAGCAATTCCAGGTTTAATCATATTTTGGAAAATAACAAAGTCACCACAATGTTTTCAGTGGACCTGAGAGTAAAAAAAATACAGCATGCATTTTTTGCACTTTCCATGATCGTGTGGTGTTTAATAGTTCTGGAGACAGCTTTGGTGGCCATCCTCCAAACTGAAGGCACACCAGACTGATAAAAACATGTTTTTGTAAGTATTAGTTTTCTTTCTCACCTGAAGCAATGTCTTAACTATTTCCACAGAGGGTTACAAATGAACACCAGAGATATTATCTAATACACTTAAAATTATATATTTCCGCAAATGAATAAAACAGATGAAAAGCTGTCAGTAAAATGTTACATTTCCTTCTTTTGTTCCCATTTCTCATTCTTTCCTGCTGATGTTCTCAAATGGTGACGTATTGTTTAGCTTCCTTTGGTTTAATACTTAGAAGAGTGTTATCATTTCAAGGCAACATTGTTTTCATTGGAAGGAAGTGTCTGGCCCCTTTGTAGTCTTTCTAGCAGGCCTAACCCTAGTTTCATTACCAGGTAGCTTCATTGGCAGGCACAGGAGAGATTTGTTTCTGTGGGGTGGCCCTTCGCTTGTGTTTGCCAACAGGCACATCCAGTCTGCCTGACACCCGGAGGTAATCCACATTTTGTCTCCATTGATAATGTAGTCATCTCCTTTTCTTACAGCCTTTGTCTTGATGCCTGTTCAAAAGTAAAAGAAGTAGTTTAGCAAGGAATGCAGATATTTAGACAAACACCAGAAAAAGGTATTCCTCGCTACGGTAGCTCTGACATAAACGTGGCAATCCAGTGTAGGTCCTCCGCAAACTGGATTGTTTCAGATGTGTTGTGCTGCTGTCTGGGAATGCTGCAAGTTGTATCCCCACACATCTGGAGGGTCCCAGGTTGGGTAAGGCTGATCTAGTGGCTCTGATCCACAAACAAAGGACCAAATGCTGGGGTTGCCCTGTCCTCTTCTATGAGCAGCACTGCTCAAGTGAAGAACATCTGCTTCCCCTCATGCAAGAAGCAGGAGAATCCTGAGTTGCTGATGCTATGAATCACATTACAAACATACATACATATGAAGTTGACTAACTATTGCTCTGACCATTAGTTAATCCAGCCTATGTTTGTCTTCTCTGACTGGCAGCAGCCTTCCAGGGCCTCAGACAGTGGTCTTTTCCAGGATCTGCTATACAGGATCGAACCTGGGACCACCTTTACGGAATTCACCTTCTCCCCTATCAGGTGCACCAAAGAGGTATGCTGTTAGTGGCCTCACTGGCCTCCATTCCTGGCAAGCCCTGCATGACCCATCTGCTTCCACATCAGGTGCAGCAGCCCAAATGACACCTGATGTGGAAGAAGGTGGGTCATGCAGGGAATGGAGACACAGAAGAGGAGTACTGGAAGCAGCTGCATAGGGATCACCAAAAATGGAGCCCTGTGTGACTGCTAGCAGCATACATGGAAGGTTGCCGGTTGTGTGACCTTCCTTTTGTGAATGTTCACAGATTTTATCTCAGCTAGGCTCACTTTGCAAGAATGGCCTAAGCATGAGAGAAAGAATGCAAATGCTAGAGGGACAAATTCTCGAAGGGTTTGCTGCAACTCTAATCTGGTTGCAAAATACCTGCTCAAGGACCCTGCCCAGGAAAGAAACATTTGCCACGTTAAAGCCTGCAGGTCCAAAGAGAACTCTGCCTCATCACTATCTCTTTCAGGTGGCCCAGGATACCTTTTCCCTGGCCTAGCAGGCTCCTCCTTTCCTGCCATTTTCTGTAAACCAAGGGAGGCAAGTATTCAATACGGAAATGGATGCTCGAAACTTTTACAAAATTCCCACACAGTCTTATATACTCACTTGCAACATCTGATCCTGCCCCAGATTCACTGACTCCTAAACAAGTCACAACATCTCCAGCTATGGCAGGAACAAGGAACTCTCTTTTCAGCTCATCGGATCCAAATCTGCAAAGCAATACATTCAAACATTTCACTTGATAGACTTTAAAAGCTATCTAGAAGACTGTTATATTATAGGATTCCTTCTCTCCAGCCAACTCCTTTTTTTTAAAGGGGAGATTAATACCTCTCCTGAAACCACCAACCACTTAGTGGTTCCCAGGCTTTACTGCAGGGATCTTTTTCCTGGTATTGTATTTCAATATCCTTCCAGCCATCTTCTATATTTAAAAAGGAAAGCAGAAACACTGCCCACTCCCCCAAGCAGAATTTTTTTTTAATTCTCCCTCTTCTTGTCAAAGAGACAGAAAATGACAGTGCCTCTTTTATAAGGAGAGGAAAAAATGTGAAAATAGGGTCAGGGCTCATTCAGCCCAGCACTAGTTTCTCCATTCTAAAAGGCTGAAATGCCTTAGTAACATGTAGTTACTTGCAGTGTTTTAAGCCAAAATAGGCTGGTATTTTTGGCTCCTTGACTCAACATTCCTAATGGATGCAGACATATGGAAACAGGAAAGCATGTGGGGGCTTTGCTGCTGCAGAGGAAGGTTTTGCTCTCTCTCACACTTCCCTTAGCATCCCTAAAGCCACAGATACAGTCTCCTAGGTGGGATTTTGTGTGCCTATAAAAGCCCTGCTGGATTTCGAAACTGAAAGATGGAGAAGGACGACTACAGGTACAAAATACACAAATTAAGAAAATAGCTGAAGATTTTTTTGTAAGGTTACACCGGAAGGAGTTTTCGATCGAGAAGGTAAAAGAATACATTCGAAAGGGAGATTTACCAAAATTACCAGAAAAGTATCAAAAAATATTGAATCAAGAAGTAACAACTATGGAAATAACAGAGGCAATCATGCGACAAAAGAACGAAAAACCCCCGGTCCGGATGGGCTACCAGCTGAATTTTACAAATCTTTTGAGGGAATTTTTGCTACCTTTCTCAAAGACATATGTAATGAAGCATTGTTAACTGCTAAAATACCAGATACCTGGACAGAGGCAAATATCACATTAATACCGAAAGAAGATAGGACTTAAAACAGATTCAAAATTACAGCCCCATATCATTATTAAATATGGACTATAAAATTTTTGCCTCTATATTGGCAGAAAGGTTGAAGAAGTTTTTAATAGACTTTATTAATCCAGACCAAAATGGTTTTCTACCTAAAAGACAAATGAAGAACAATCTGAGGACTATTTTGGATATCCTAGAATACTACGAGACACACATGGAAAAATCAGTGGCTCTACTGTTTGTAGATGCCCAGAAAGCCTTTGATAATATTAATTGGCAATTCATGATGCAACAGATGGACCAAATGGAGTTTGGGGGAAAATTTATGAATGCGATATCAAGCATCTATCAAAGACAATCAGCCAGGATTTTAATTAATGGAGAACGTACAAGGGCTATAGAGATACAAAAGGGTACAAGGCAGGGATGCCCTCTGTCACCCCTGCTGTTCATCCTGACTTTAGAGGTCTTGAATAGAAATATTAGGGATGACAAGGACATTAAAGATACTAAAATTAGGGATGAAAAGTATAAATTGCAAGCATTCACAGATGATTTGGTCTGTATAATAGAGGAACCTTTTGTAACAATCCCTAAACTTTTACAACGGATTGAAGAATATGGTGAGGTTACGGGGATGAAAATAAATAAGGAAAAAATGAAACTTTTAGTTAAAAATCTTACACAAGATCAGAAAAAAAGACTCCAAGAACAAGTGGACTTGCAGATTGTCGAAAAGGTTAAATACTTGGGAATCTATCTTACAGCTAAATGCACAACTTTGAAAGAAGACAATTATGATAAATTATTGAAAGATATTAAAGGTGAACTGGAAGGATGGGCCAATTTGCAACTGTCTTTGATGGGAAGAGTTGCACTGGTTAAAATGAACACACTGCCAAAACTTTTGTTTTTGTTCCAAATGATTCCCGTAAAAATTGATAAAAAATTTTTTGAGGATTTAAATTTCGAGATTTATTTGGAGAAAAAAGAAAGCAAGGATTAAACTGAAAATGCTTCAGGAAACCAAAAAGAATGGGGGTTTTGGTTTACCGGATTGGATGTTGTACTATCAAGCATCTATTTTAACTTGGCTAAAAGAATGGATAACCTTGCGAAATAAGAGAATTTTGTATCTTGAGGGTCATGATTTGCAAATGGGTTGGCAGGCTTATATGTGGCATGAGAAGGTTAAGTCTCATGGGACTTTTTTAAGCCACTTTATTAGAAGATCATTAATGTCAGTGTGGGAAAAGTTAAAGTCAAAATTGTATAATAAGTTACCAAGATGGCTTTCACCTATGGAAGTTTTTGTGTATCCGAATGTTTTGAATTTTGAAGGGATCATAAGATATGATGATATTTTGGATAAGGATGGAGGCCTAAACCTAGATCAAGAAATACAAGAACAGGGACTCAATATCTCGTGGTGGTATAAGGTGCAGATGCAATCAAGATATGCTAAAGATTGTAAAATATGGGGGTTTTATAAAGACCTAACAGCCTTTGATCAAGTGATGTTAAAAACAAATGAGAAAATGATTAAAAGAATTTATGAGTTCCTACTTGACAGGAAAATAGAAGAGGAACAGGTTAAGGAAACTATGATAACATGGGCACAAAATTTTGGATATAATATTGAATTAGAAAAGTGGCAAAAGTTATGGGAGAGAAATATTAAGGTAACTTTAGCAACTTCGTATAAAGAAAATTTATATAAAATGTTTTATAGATGGTATTTGTCACCAAATCGGTTAGCTAAAATGTTGCCAAATATGTCAAACAGATGTTGGAAATGTAAACATGATGTGGGTACTTTTTACCATATGTGGTGGACTTGTGAATATGTGAAAAAGTATTGGATTAAAATACATAAATGGCTTGAGGAAACGCTACAAAAACCCTTAGCTTTTAAACCTGAAGTTTTCTTGTTAGGTATTGTACCAGAAAATATTAGCAAACAAGAAATGTATTTGATACTACATTTAATCACAGCAGCGAGGATTGCGCTTGCTCAATACTGGAAGAGTGAGGAACTACCCACTGAGGAACTGATTTTAAAAAAGATTCTGGACTGTGCAGAAATTGACAGATTGACTCTATTATTGAAGGAGAAAGAAGATACTGACTTCTATCAAACTTGGGACCTTTTTTACAAGTGGCTGGAGAAACAGGACTTGGCTTAGATTTAAAGATGTCTTTAAATTGTTATAAATCGATTTGAATATGATTATAGAATGATTAAAAGATATGTTATAGGGAGCTGACCCAGTACGTCCGATGTATTTGATGATTGATTATTCTTTTAGTTTTTAGTTTTAAATCTTAATAAAAAATGTGCAAAAGGAAAAGCCCTGCTGGATAAGATCAAAAGTTCGCCTCCCCCAGCCTCCCTCTTCCCAAGCTAGCCAAGCACAACAGGGTGCAACGCCAGCTTCCCGGTCCTACTCCCCAGTGCCTGCACGCAGAGACACGCTGCTTCCAATAGCAGGAGATGGAGCCATTGTCACTAATAGGTTTGGATAGCCTTATCCTCAGTGCACATTTCCAGTCCTTTTTGAAAAGCCATATGAGATGGCAGCCATTGCTACAATTTATCAAGAAACATGTGAGTTTTGTTAAGTTCCTTTAAAAATAATCAACACAATTTTCACCCTGCCCCAGTGAGTTTCACAGCAAGCTCAATACTAAAATGCTGAACTTTTGTATGTGGACTTAAGCTGTATTTATTTATTTATTTTCCACCTTTCTCCCATTATGAAACTCAAGATGGCTTCATGCAGTTCCCAGTCTCCCCTCCAAGCTCAAGCAAGCTCCAGCCCTGTTTAGCTTCAACATGCTGGATTCCTTATGTACCTTCATGCCATTCTCCACATGCCTGTTGTGTAGCATGTGCTCTGTCCCCCAGTACAAAAAACTTCACATAAAATAGTGCTTGGAACCACAGAAATATTTAAGCACAGTCATAGTTCATTGAACTAATAATTTGAATGAAAATGGGCCAGGTTTCATCTGTAAAACTGGCGAGGAAAGGAGAGGAAGGTCACAGAGGACCTCTATCTCTCACAGCAACCAGTTACACAGCCTGTTTCACAACTAGAAGCTTGTATTTGCTGAAGTTGGCCACATTCCACCATTACTCTGAGCATGTATGCAGATTCCCACAAACATTAAAGATGAAACAAGATGTAACACTTAGACATGTGCAATATGCTGCTAGCGAGGTGGATGTTCCACCTAACAGGTTTTTTTGTGCCCTGTTGTTGCTGAATTTGCTACTAACATATTGTGGCACTGGCAGCAAAAAGCAGGATTTTCAGAAGAAAACAAGGCATGCAGGGAGCATGCACCTAATGGCTCTCCCAGAGCTTCCCAGGAATGTGAATTTGCAGCAGTCAATTCAAGGGAGGGAGGCCCCTGGCCCCTAGGGTGTGTAGGGTGTTAGATCAGCGAGGAACAGGGAGCACAAACATGATTCATTCATGACATTCCACACCCTAAATATTAACCCTAGAACAAACCTAAATACAACTTGTCTGAATGGAGCTAAAGGATTTTGGGAGTCACAGCAAAGTCCAAACATCTTTAAATATACTATCCTCAGTCACTGCATATAAATTCCCCTGCAACTCAGCAAAAAGCTTTTTAATTCCTCTTAAAGAGCAATCAATTCACATTCTAGCAGATGGGATTCTCACTGCATCCAGCAAAAACATGCCTAATGCTTGTACTTCATTCTGATTCAGGTGGGGCCTATGCTCCATTCTCCTAACATGTTGGTGACGTTGAAATTGATAGCACTTGTTCATCTTGTACAAGTCACAGAGGGATGAAAAAAAGCAGCATGAAGTGTTGTGCAACTGAATTAATTATAAAGTCAGGAAAGTTTCTAATTAGGTCAGACACTTTATGACATATCGTTAGTAGAAAATTGTGGCTTCAAGTATGAACAGCTGCAGGTGGGTTCTTTACATGCCACATTTC